TGTGTGTGTGTGTGTGTGTGTGTGTGTGTGTGTGCGTGTGTGTGTTCGTGCGTGTGTGTGTGCGCAAGTGTGTGTCTGTGTGTGTGAGCGTGTGTGTGTGTGTCTGAGTGTGTGTGTGTATCCATTCTGTCCACCCCACTTGAAGGGTTAGGTGAATCACTGAATGCACGTTTCAAACTTCGGGTGTTCAAAACGTCCAAGAGGTTATTGATTTTGCTCTTTCTATAAACCTTGGTGCTATTTCTCTATGTCTTGTTTCATTTTCCACTAAATGATTGATCGTATACATATAGCAGCTTTGGATCTTTTGAATTCAAACCGCTATCGATTAGTTTATATTATATTCGGCGCCATGATCTCACACAAACTGTATACATTCGGATCAACTGAACTCAAAAAACGAACAGCCTTTTGTTGAACATGCTACAAAATATTTTGTCAGTAAGCAATCATAATTCAAAACCTTTTCTAGGGCACGGTACTTTACATGGGAGAAATACTGTCCTTAATAGGCAATATCAAAGACTTTACAGAATGTGTACGGACAATCTCTTAACAGCAGCATAACTTCAAACCCAGGTACATTATTCTGCGGTTCGATTTCATAGCAGAATTATTTGATATATTTGTTTTCGTCTTATAAAAAGAGGCACAATCTCACAGAATACAATACTCAAAGCAGCATCATAAGGCAGCGTCGCTACCTTGTTACCATGGGAACATTATATGAAATTGGTAACCGACACCTAACCCGTATTTATTAGTTTTGTACCTCAAGGAATATTTGATTTAAATTATGATATATTCTATGTACGATGTAGTAATTCTTCATCAGCCAGCTTTGAGGCAGGTAGAGTTCAAGCAGAAAGCCTGTCCGCAGCCAACATACAATGAGGGAGAAAGAAGTGAAAAAAACAACAACTAAAGAGAACAAAGACATAATATAAAGAGAGATAACTCAAGATATATATCAAGAGAGAGAGAGAGAGAGAGAGAGAGAGAGAACGGAGAAACGGAGAGATAGAGAGAGACAGAGAGAAACAGACAGACAGACAGACAGGCCGACCGACCAACAGACAGACAGACAGGCAGACAAACAGACAGGCAGACAAACAGACAGACAGACAGAGGTGGGAGAAGGTGAGAAAGGAGGGTAGATGAAAGGGAGGGGGTGGGTTAAAATGACTACGTGGAATATTGGAATTAAAATAATATATTTCAATCTCTTTGTAGTTACTTAACGATTAGAATGTAGGCCTACTAAATAACAGAAACCAAGCGTGGAGCCTAATTGGATGTCATTTCTTTCACTCTGAAAAAAACCCAACAACTACCAGATAGGCCTGCCTGTCTACAATCTGAACAATACTGCAAAGAAAGAGAGAGGGGGCGGGGGGATGAGAGAGATAGGGGGGGTACAGAGAGGGTGGGGTGGGGTGGGAGAGAGAAAGGGAGAGAAAGAAAATGAGTGGGGGTGAGAGGGAGGAGGAAGGGAGAGAAAGAAAAGAATAAGAGAAAGAAAGGGAGAGATCAAGGGAGGAGGGGGAATCTAGAGGATGAGGAAAAGCATACAAAACGAGTAAGGAGGACAGGAAGTGGGGGACAAAAGAGAAGTGTCAAGAGAAGAAGGAGAGATGGAGAAAGAGGAGGAAGAAGATAAGGAGGAACGGAGCTATGACAAAAAGTTATGAATAAAAGCTTACCCTGGGTAGCTGGTCATTGTTCGTTCTCTCTCTCTCTCTTTCTCTCTCAATTAAGCTTTCGCAGTTCTTTATGAGACTCGTGAGTGGGCTTTCTACGACGGTGTTAATTCAGTTCTGGGTTGTTAGACAGATCAGAACCACATGGAAACTAAATGTGAACTGGACAGAACATAAACACATTGACACTTAAACTGAAACTGAAACTGAATGAATGAAAGAAGATCTTCCTCCAGCACAGGCGGTTCCTTGTAAATATTTTATTCAATATAAATATCGTTTCTTGTCACAGTTGGCTAATCCTGTTTCCGGCCCTATCCTTTCTTTACACACCGTGCAGTGCAGAACCAACTGGTGTAACCAACAATATCGTATTCCTCTTTTCACGCTTTGCTTTACCAAGCAACTAAAAATACACCGAAGAAGAGCAGATCGCCATCATGAGGGCTGGGCAAGCAAATATCTCAATAAACATCCATTTCCCAATTAACCGGACTTAGGAAGAGCCAGTTTCTAACTCGAAGGAATGCATGTTCTAGTTTTAGAAGATGAATCATAAACATGCAGGCCACACAACCAAATGGTTCAATATAAATAAGGAGACATAACTATACTTTCAAAAATACCACCGAGGACAGTTTTTTAATAATAAAAGGCTCATTTAATGAATAAGATCATTTAACCGGTTTTGGTATTAGCCGGATTGACGATTCCGATCTGTGCCAGTTCTCGACATCATTGTTTTCCGCGAAGCAAGGCACAAGGCAGTTCTGAGAGAAAAACCAGCGACACAGGGCCAGTTGTGACCTCATTCGCTATCTCCGAAGGTCATCCAGAGATTTTTTTTTGGGGGGGGGAGCGGGGGGAAATGGCGAACCCGCAGGAGAGGGCGAGAGTGGGGGAGCGGGTAATCTGGTGAACCTTCTGTGTTCTCATTCACATGTTCTGGGAGACACACACACACACACACACACACACACACACACACACACACATACATACACATACACACACACACACACACGCGCGCGCGCGCGCGCGCGCGCACAAATATACAGGGTGATTTTAAAAAACTAAAAGACTTTTTTTTCTGAATATCTCGCACAAAACTTGTATTTGAATGTTGTAATTCGGAAAAAATATAATTCGCCAAAAAGGGATTAGTTTTCGGAAACGGAAAAGGCTTTTATGAAAACAACTTACAGACGCAAAAGGAATCAATTTAAAAGATCTAGTAGGGAAAGTCATGAAATGAATGTTTTGTTTTTTCCCTTCCCTTTCTTGTTAAGACGTAATCTTTCCATCCCTGTAACATAATTTAAAACAATATAATTTCTTTTCTCTTAGAGAGTTTTAAAAAATGTAAAATTCAGGAAATTCCCAGAACCAGTGCTCTATATGTCCTTCTTTGGACTCGCACATTTTAACGCGTCGTTCGTAATGTTCAGTGGTGGCCAAACACAAGGGTCCACCCAACCATGAGTACTCAAAGCCACACGCACTGTGCACCTTACAGTATGGAGTTTTTTTCCAGAGACAATAGGGGGGGGGGGGTTAGGTGGCCAAATAGACAACATTTTTGGAGTTAACGTATCTTGAAAGGTGAATATGAGTTTTGCCAAGGATTCAAAAGTCATTGAGGAAATGTTAACGCTTTTCAATACGATGGGGGAATCATGAACACGTGACTATCCTCTGATACATGTGAGCTTGGCAAACAGGAAAATGGTACAGACGTAGATGAAAATCTACTTTGAGAATGCAGACCGTTGAGATGTAGATCTAGGAAAGTCCAAGCTGCAGACACTGTCAACGGACAGACATCTCATGGGGCTCATCTACGGAACGCTGCACCCTGGTGACGTTTAAAGGGGTGCGAAAGGTATGTGTTCGACCTAAAGTGTCTACATGACCTAACAGATGGACCGTTTTTACTACCATTGACATCAAAGGAGGCCTTAAGGGGGGGGG